GAGAGTGGTGAGGTGGGAGGATGGGGTGGATTTCTCCTGGTTTTACTGTTTGATGAAACCAGGAAGTTCCACGGATGGAATCCAGGCTTTCAGTTTGCTTTAGTGAGAGAAAAGGGGGTGGCGGAGGAAAGGGCTAGCTAACTAGTGCATGTGAGCTGAAGCTGTCTGCTGCACTCCAGGACTCAGGCTTTTTCCGAAGACTTCAGAAGGGATAAAATCAGCATGTAAAGTTGAAGAAATCTAACTGAAGTACTTCAGTAGGTAGGAGAAAGCTGTATGATCACATTCATTTGCACTGGTGGAGGTGGGATTTGAAGTTGTCACAAGAAAGATTGTGTTCCTTCGCTTAGTATATACAAACAGAGGAGGGAAAATATCCCCAAACCAGGGTGTGCAGGGAGATCCTGTATGCAACATGGTTATAAGTGAAAACCAGATGTTGCCTCAAAATCTTCATGCTTTAGATAGTGTGCTTAAGAAGTGTATTCATGTTTGACCGTGCATTTTGCTCTGGGAGCAAACATCTACAGAATTACTTTCTCTTACCTGCTTAAAACTTTGGAGCAGATGAAGGTAAAATTGGGACATTAATTGATTAAAAAAAAAAAAAAACAAAATATAGTTGCAAGCAATCTTTGTGAAGCATTTGAAGAATTCAGAGGTACTCTTGATCTTTTTCTTCCTTTGAGATTTATTGTATACATGTTGGTGGGTCTCTGGGAACAAATAAGGAAAAATGCTGGCAGTAAAATCAGCTTTAAAATATTTATCCTTTTATACTTTTTTCTAAGGGCTTTTAATAATTTTCATACTGTTGTCTCCTAAAATAGCATTAAAGTGGAAAGAAGTCTTAGATTTTTGAGAATTGCTTAGAATCTTACATAGATTATGCCTATACAGATTTATATAAACAACTACAGCTATGCATATTTGAGTAGCTTATGCTATGACCTTTTATATACTGTTTTATGTTCAAACACATTTTGAAATTAACATGCTGCTGGCTTAATATGCAGAATTGGTGATGCTATGTGACACCGTGTTTGAGGGAGTTATTTAGGCTTTGATCCATAGTATCTATGAGCCATATGACATGAGTTTTCCATTAAATGACTTCTGTTGTTTTACTTCAGCAAACAATGAAGAATACACGTAGAAGGTGTAAAGTACCTCTATTTTTGCAGCTTGTGGTGCGTGGTTGGAATTGTCTATGTGAAGATAAGGCAAAATAAATTGTACAAGTAGGGAAATCAGTCTGCACGCGTTTTTAAATTGCAGAGTCCCTGTGTATTTAAAGAAGCTGCAGAAGGTCAATAGAGGATACTGGAGGGAAAAATAAAGAGCAAGTGGGAAATATGTTCCCATCTGCACTCACTGTTTAGGAAGAGTGGGAGAGATTTTGCAGGTGTAGAGTATCTGACCCTATGAACAGGGAACATTCTTGAGTCATGAGGTTGGAAAAAGCTGAAGGAGGCAAACAGACTTCAGCTGTTAGAAGGTATGGAGATAATTGTGTAGCTCAACAGTCACTGATTGTTGTGTGTGCTGTAACAGTAAGAGCTAGACTTGGGTACAAAGCTCAAATGTTTGCATTGCTGAGGAAAGTCTAGCCCTGTGCTAAAACAACAGCTGTGTTTTGCTCATCTAACTGTGGGCAGCCACATACACCCTGGAAGCATGGTGATATTGGTGCCTTTGAGTTTTTCACAAACCCATAGTGGTGGAATTTTTTAGAGCAAAACACTAACTAGAGGCTTTGGAAAGACTGGCAGCATTTTACTTAGCTGCCCTTGAATATGTACGTTTCTATCTGCATCTATAGAACTATGTGCGGTTTATTAAAACAAGATAGTTCAAGATGCTTACTGCTCCTCTGTGTATAACAATAACTGTGCTATCAAAGTAGATATTGCATAATGCAGTAATGAAAGTTAGTAATCATAATTCTTTTCAATAATATTAACATATTTAGTTGTGTCTCAGTATAAACTTTTTTCTTAACATCTAAAAAAGAGGCTGATGTCATGAGGCATATTAGTGAAAATAGATAACTTGGAATCAAGTCTGTCAAAGTGATCAAGGAGAACTCTTGAAAGGTTCTTTAGCTGTCAGGAGTATACACAGAAAAAATTATTAAATCCAAGACAAAATTTAATTGTGAAGATGATACATAAGACGATTGCAAAACATTTTTATTTGTCGTGGTTTCATATATGACATACCTCAGTTTCCCTTGTGTTAGAAGTGCTTATTAAAGAAAAATGTGATGTGCAGAGGCATGAAGATTTCCACAATGCACAAACCCCAGCATTGCCTTCTGGTCTTTTTAAAGACCACATAGTACCTGGAACCCCTTTTGTTGCATAGGGACCTCAGTTACCTCTGGAATATTTGTCTTACTGCAGTAGTAATAATAGTAAAGAGTGCTAATATGTGATAAATGTCTTGAAATACAAGAAGTGTGGCTTTTTTTCTGCCCACAAGAGAAGGTTCCAAATAATCCCTCAAGAGCTGTAATGAGGCTTGGTGTGGAGATACTTAGAAATGAGTTTTGCTACTGTCCAAGGGTAGAATATAGAGTCAAACAGATGATTTTGATTAATTACTTATTACAAGACCTAGGGTAATATTACATACAGTTACCCTAAGAATCTGAAACTAAACCCTCTGCTATGATGTTAGACCAGCTGCAGCCTTCACACTAAATTGTCTTTGCAGATCCAAGATATAGTTTAAAAACCAGTGTAATGAATTGTTAACAGTAGCATTTCATCATCAACTTGTATTTTCACTATTTTCAGAGATATTTGGCTTACTTTTTCAGTAGAATATAAATGATGTTTACAATACGATAAGAAATCTAATTGGTTTGTGATTTTAATATAAAAGTATAGCTGGCTTCAAAAGATACTAGAACATCCACACAGACTGGAAGGGATAAGATACCTACATTCTTTAACTTTCCTTTTATGCTCTTTCCTTAAGCTAATGGCCATTGTCAAAGATAAAGGACTGGGTAAGATGGACCTTTGCTCTGATCACTAGGGCTTAATTTTGAGTACTAGTGGCAAAGGGAGGTTTATCAAGCAAAAGTGACAGAAATAGAGGAGCAACCCGTGTGTATAGGTAGATACCCTGCCCCCAGCACAGACCTTGAAGATACTGAAAAGGCTAATGTATGGCTTAACTGGATATGCTGTAGCCGTCACGTGGATATCCTCTCCCTCTATACAGATTCAGTTCCACATCCTTCCACAAGAGGAATTTACCTGTGTCTTAAGACTGGTTAATTCTGAGAAGGATGCCCCTTGGTTCCAAGAAGCATGCCTAGGAAGTCCCCCAGTTGCTGGGAGGATGAACTAGCTTGTTTTTTTACCTGCTGTCTGATTGCTTCTGTGTGTCTCTGCATACATTTCTCTCTGTTACTCACAAGTTTAGGCAGTATTCATGCTGACATAATTATTAGATGTTAAGTAATGGCAGAGACACAGATGCTGGGGAAATTTGTGTGCAAATCAGCTGCAAAATGAAATTCTAGATTCATTGTTCTCACCAGAATTCCAGAAGCTGTGAAGCCTTTTTTTTTTTAAAAAAAAAAAAAAGCCAAGCCAGGATCCTGGGTTTACTGAGGTTGCACTTGTGTCAAACCGAAGCCTGGAGTATAAGTGGCTCAAGCTGTCTCTTCTGATCTGAGCGTCTGCCAGGATCAATGAACAGGTTCAAAAGATAACCTGAGACAGAGCAGTGTCAGCTTATTCTCTACTAATGGGTAGCTCAACAGTACTTTGTATTAAATTTTGGTAGTAAACAGATACAAATGGTAGCACATGAAAGTCAGTAGCCATGCATCTTCCACATGAGTATATCTTTAACATAGCCTGTATATTAAGTATGAGATTCTTAGGGCAGCCCCAGTGCTTTTACTTGTCTGTTTTAAATACTTGAGTAACTAAAGGTCATAGAATAAGTGAGCACTATACCTCATCCTCCCTGCTGGACATACCTAGCCAATCTGGTTCTCCGTTACTCACATCACCATGCAGAAGCCTTTGGCCTTTATATTGATAAATTTTACCAAAAATCTTTTCTTCCACTTGCTGACATCAACCTTGTGATATACAGTTTAGTTTTGATCTGGGACGGAATGTGAGGGTGGAAGTAGGAGGAAGGCAACTGGAACTAGTCAGAAAAGAAAGAAAAAAACAAAACCAAAAACAACTTCAGCAACTCCAAAGAAAAACATGTGAAATATTTTCATGTTCATGCTTTTTTGCATACTTGGCCTCCTAGGCTCTGGTTTATTATCTTTTTTTATTCTTTAAGCTATTTAGTGTACATGTGTTATAGAATTGAAAGTTTTTCAAAACTCTTTTGTTCTCACCTGTTTATGGTGCTTAAGTTCAATGTGGTTTAATTTTGTACTTTCTTCCTGAGAGATTTTCATTCCCATTTCTCACAGCATTGTGTCATGACACTTTTATATAGCAAGTGTCTTCATTACTGGCCAACTGGCACGTTTTATTTGTAAATGAATGCTTGTTCTTATCTATGTGTATTGTATATAGATGCCACCACCAAATTTTTCTTTTAAAGATGTGTGGGTGGGCAATTTCAAGGTTAGAGGAGAATCTTAGAAGCATAACTCTCATTAATCTTACTTTATGAATAGCTTGCTTTTAGATGAATTTTAGATCCTGGCAAATATAGCTGTGTGAATCAGAACAAAGCATGATTGTGAGAGCAGAGCAGTGAACAGTTCATTTTGGTTATATGCTGTACATCAGTGTCAAACTCTAACAGCTCTGTGTTCAAAGCCTGTATGTTAAAAGCTGAGGGAAGAAAATATGAATTTAAAGTGCTGCTTTAAATTGCATACAGCTAAAAAGCCTCAATATTGCTAATAAAATGCACTTACCTCCACAATTAAAAATCTCTTTCTGAGAAATTTTGCTCTGTATTTCTTACTGTCTTTGTTTTTTTTTTCTAGGGAGGTTTTCAAAATGGATGACTGGAAACCACTTCTTGTTCTTCTCTTTGTTTCCACCTTCTGCTCTACAGATGCACAGCAGACTGGTAATACACTAAAGAAATTACTTCAAGTTAAAAAGAAAAATATTTTGTCCATATATACCCAATGCTAGAGAGAGTTGAAGAATCCATGACAGTTTATTCTTTGTATAACTGAGGATAATGTGGTGTGTTTTTATGAAATACATATTTAAGCTAGGATAGGGGTAGATAGCAAAGTAGATAGCAAAAATAAGTGCAACAGCCGGGGAGGGAAGGTGAGGGGAGAAAGAGGAAGAAACAAACATGCAACACAGTTGCAATTCACTTCGTGAATGATAAAATGCACAGTCAGTTCTTCCTTGCTCGTGAACAAAGCTGGAAAAGAAGCTATAGTAATTCATTGTTTTATGTGATCTCCCTTGGGCAGCCTGCAGAAAAGCCACGTTGGCAGGTGTTGTTTTTTTTAGTAGATATTCAACAAGTATTGGCCAGGAAAACTTCCAGAAGGTGAAGAACTTCGTCTCTACCTCAGTTTTAAGTCTTTATGTTGGTCTCGATGCCAGCTGAGTTGGGCTGGCACAAATACAGTGATGAGACTTACCAAGAATTCTTCCTGAATAAGTATTTGAAAAGTGATGTTTTGGAGCAGATTGAGAATTTGCCATATAGGAGTGGAGAAGCTTACACAGGGAAAGCTCTGGATTTTGTCAACACAGTGTATTTCACTGAACCTGCTGGTAGCAAAGCTAAGGGCTATGTCCTGCAGGTAGCCATGCTAATCACTGGTGGAGAATCAAGTGATGAAGTTGAATTGCCTGCCAGGAAACTGAGGAACAGAGGCATCTCCCGGTATGTCGTTGGAACTGTTGTCCAGAATACAAATGAGCTTCAGCAACTAGCCAGCAAACCTTTTGGTAAATATCTGTATAGCGCTGGTAATTTTGATGACCTTCCAGATTTTTCCGTAAGACTTTGGGGAAACTTTTGTTTTGCAAGTGAAAGTGAGATAAAAGGTATGAATTTGTCCTTAGACTTGTGCCATTTCAGTTGTTCATACTGTGTAATTGTGAAAATAAAGTGTAGAAAAGTAATGCTCGTTTTGATGTTGTTTGTATCAATGTTACTGTCATGTAATGTGATTGAAAACAATAGGGCTAATTTTGAGTTAGGCTGCAGTTCAGGATGACATTCCTGTTCTTTTTAACACGTCTCAGTGTCTGTGTTGAAGTCAATGAAGTTTAATTGTTAAAATAAGAGGGTAAGATTATGCTCAGTGCTCTCTGAAGCTGAGACTTAATGTATTGCAAAGAAAATCAGGGTCAGATTAACAGAGTCTATGAAGTACATTCAGTTTCATCTCGTTCGGGCTGGTGGAGCCTTTTTTAGAAAATGTTTTGATGTCGTTGAAGAGTTGGAACAGAGAATTATTTCTCGACTAAGCTATACTTTTGATAACTCTGAAATCCTCCAAAAACCTAGTGCAGAAATTGAATGTTCTAGGAGTGACAAAAATGAAGGGAAGTCCTATTTTCTCTTTCCATACATTTGCCAAACAGTGAAATTCAGAAAATGTATTTTCCCTCTTTCTTTAAGGACCATTATTGTTGAAGTGAAAGAGAAGAAATTTGTGTTTAAAACAATGATAAATGTTTAAAATGTAAAGTAGTTAGAATTTAAAAATTAATTCCTTTTTTTCCCTGATTTTGCAGAGGTCAGTGTGGATTCCTCCACTAGTTTTTGTCAATGAAGAGAAAAGGTTAGGGGTTAGAGCCTATGCTGATAGTTAGGAACTTGGCTTTAATCCCCTTCTCCATCATAAACTGTTACACCAAAGGATGCATTTAGGTCCAGTTTCATTTGTCTTGCAACTGATATGCCCTCCAGATACGCATATCACTTTTCACTGACTGTAAGTGAAGTTATAATCTATATGTTCATGTGCTGGTGCCTCCTCTGATATTCAGAGGAACTGTTTGCTTTGGAGCAACTCCTCATGAGGTTTTCATGAAGGTCAGTGTATTCTGAAGTGCTCAAATGGATCTAGTTCTCAGACGCAACCTATATTTCAGTAGTGATGTAGAAGACCTTGGTTAATGAAGTATCAGAGGAACGGAATAATGTTAAAAGAAGAGCTAACTGTCCCAGGTAAAACTAGGAAATAAAGTATGCAGTCTCACTCCCACAGTCATAATGAGAAGATTCAGTGGAAGGAAGATGAAACTTTTATCTACAAAAGTACTATCAGATGTAGAGTTTCTCAAGACGTTTTCCTTAGGACTTTTTTTTGCAGAGTCACTAGAATTCTTTGTTTATGTTTAATTTGTCAAAATGTAGAATTACAGCAATTATATAGCGTGTTAAATGGTATGCTGTAGACATAAAACTTCAGTCTAAAAATTGTGGAAATCAATGAAGAGGTGGTAATTTTTGTTTATCTTGCATTCAAAGCCAGGTCTGGGTATAGGTTGACAGTATTCCTTTTGACAGCACATCCATCACTTTTTTCCCCTCTCTGTGCAGCATTTGCGAAACAATATGCTGATGTTATTTTCTTTGACTCCACTGAGAACATGAACCTTTCAACCTTTGGGAAAGTAAAACATTTCATCTCCCAGATAGTCAGACAGCCTAACAACTATAGGATTGGCCTAGTCCAATTTAGTGGCATAGGGCAGGTGGAGTTTTAACTGAACACACAAGAAAATGAAGAAAAGATGCTTGACCACATTCAGCACAGCATTGCGTTTTCGCAGGAAAACTTTTTCATGGATAGTGCTGGAAGCTGGCTCAGTGAAGGCACTCCACAGGTTGTAGTGGTCATCAAACCCTCTGGATCCAGAGACAGTATCATGGAGGCAGCCTGGATGTTACAAGGGGTATCATGGAGGCAGCCTGGATGTTACAAGGGATGAGGGTGAAAGTGATGCTGGATACTTTAATGAGGCAGAAGAAAAGGTGAGAGCCACCTCTAGCATGACTTCCCAGAGTTATGAAGGAGAGAGCATCGACCTTCTCCAGCAAAACATTGTCAGTGATATGGAAGCCTCACTTCAGAAGCTTTATGATCTTGACCCAAGTGTGCCAGCAGGTACGATGTATCACCAAAGCAAAAGCAGCAGCCTGAGTAGCTTCTAACTCACTGCTAATCCAAAGCAACTTCTCAGGTCACTGTGAGGTAAGAACAGAGTGCAAATGGCTGACACTTGCCTGTGCAGAGTTTGTTGTAATTACCTGTATTAACCAAGAGGAGCAGGGCAGTGATCTAGAGGGGTTGGCTGCAGTAGAATTGCCTGTTCTGACACAAAAAAACTTGCTTGAATTTTGTAGAAAATGGCCATAGGAGAGTTTGTATTTAACCACAGAATAGCTTCCCTAATATCCTGGAGTGTCCTGATTAGCAGTCACTCTGCTGGAGAGCGAGAAAAGCATTCATCTAGCAGACTTGCCTGTAGTGTGAGCAAGGAGCCAGCTGAGGTATGATGTTTATTTCAGGGATTTCTTTTACTGCAGAAATCAATATATAAATCTTTGCTCTTCGGCACTGATAGGGATTTAGATTTCATGTTTTGTTGTTGCACCATCTTGCTTATTACCTTGAGATGATCCTTTTTGTATCAACCTATTCTGATTATCCAACCAATTATCCCATGGTGTGATCTACGTTAATCTTATCTTCCTTATGTTTAATTTGCTTTTAGCGTGTTCCAGTGCAACTGTTGCAGATATTGTGTTTGACTTTGATTCCAAGCTCTGTCTTGTTATGACTCTGCCAGCTGGTCTTTTAGATGATATGTAAACATCTGCGATTTCTTCAAGTTAATAGTGGAAAAAGATGCATTTTATGTATACACGGAAGGTCTCTGGGTCGAAGTAGGATAGATGATAGGTTGGCCTTGCATAGCCTTGCAGTGAACAGCTTCTGTGACTAAAGATTTACACGCTGCAGAGAAAAAGGAAAAGATTAAACACTGTCAAGGTTATGTTCCTTACAGAACAGTCCTTCCTACAGAAGAAACAGAAGGTGGTACCTCTTGCTACATCATCTTGGTGGCAACAGTAGCTTGGATGCCGTACAGTCTGAGAGGCTCCCAACCCCAAAGAACCTAAAGGTTCAGTATTGCCTTAGATTAACGTAGCAACTTCTATCATGTCGGATGCTAGTTTTGTATCTGAGTTTATTCCGACTTCGTGCCGTGGTATCAGTCACCTTGTCATGTGGGAATACTGAAGCAGAAAACATACACAATTGCTCTTTAAAATTACACCTTTATGCCAGTTATGTAGTACGATAATACTGTAGATGTGTTTGTTAAGTTGCAAAAAAAAAAATAGTAGTGAATGGCAAATCAAAAAGCTCTTCCTCCACTGAAGGTGAGGGGGACCTACTCTGTATAGGTGGATGGCATTGATTTGGAATAGCAAGAAGAGACGGTGCTGGAGCAATTCTCTCTGTGCCTGTCCTTACAGGGACTGTGACTGTCCTTTAAAGCTCCTTGTTGTGTTCCTTTTGTTTTCACCATATAAATGATGTTTTACATGTGCTGGATACATGCTCCTTGTTCTCTTTGTTATGCCATAAAACTGATCCTACCCACTTCTCCAGGTTTCATTGCCGTAGTGGCCAGAGACTTAGTGTGGTAAAGGAATACTGGGATGACCACGCTGCTTGTCTAAGGCTTTTTGTAGCAACAACTGAACTGTTGCTCACCAGCCTAGGCTGCGGCTCCAAGGATGTTGTTGCATATTCTGCAGCCAGGAGGAAACGGCCCGCCTTTTGTAGGCAGGGCCTAAACCTTGATTAGATAATTACAAGCCAGCTGGGTGATAGACATACTGAACAAATGGATAACTTTGCCTCTCCTGCACCCTGGGCTTGTGAGATCTTAAACACAGTGAAACTGACTGGTGTTTGCTGGGGTGTTAGGGGCCAAGATGAAGAGCTGAGCCTTCTCTTCTACAGCCAGAAGCTACTCTCTGCATGAATTATATCTGCTCAGGTGGTTTTCAGAGAGGAGGACAGCTGGGCCTGTTTCAGTATAAGCTCTACACCCCCATCCTCTCTTTTTCCCATCAAGAGCTGAGCAAACCTCCAACTGAAAGGGCATCTCCTGGCTCCTGAAAGCAGAGGGAGGGCTGCTGCGGAAGTGGAGTGCACTGCGATGGAACAGCTGATGCAGTAGCACCTCCTGGTGTTTTATGGCCAGAGAACAGGGAGATTTAATGGGAGATACAGCAGTAAACTTTTAATATGTATACAAGCACATTTGTTGAGAGAGAGAAGTTAAGGAAAGCATATTGGCTTTGATCTCACAGATGCATGTATTTATTGTTAAGCTCTGCATAAATTTGTCTCATAAGACAGAGATCAACTTCCTGTGAAGCCTATTTTATCTTGGCCTGTCATCTGTTCTCCTATATTCGATGACCTTCTTTCCTGTAATAGATCATCTAATTCCCCTTCTCCAGTCATCTTCTCTATAAACTGCCAGATTTTTCAAATTCGAAAAACTACATTCAAGGTATGGAAAGTCAATAGGGGAGAAAGATGCCTTTGTAGCCATAAGACGGGGCAGTTTAACAATGTAGATCTGTGTGGGAGAACAGGGATTAGAAAAAGAGGTTAGCTACATGGAGATGTTTACTCCTGCAAATAGAGATGATCAACAGAGTATAGAGTACCTAGCAGAAGCTGGTTTACACATTCTCCTGCACAACACAGTAACACAAAAATGAAATTACTTCTGTTTTGGTGTTATTACTGGCACACTGGGGAGTTGGCAGGGAATGTTTTAAGAGATAGGCAGCGTGGATGACCAATTGTCAGGGCTAAACCGCTGAGTCCATGGCTGCCCTTCGCACTCCCTCCAAATTATGTGGTTAAAAAGACCCAGATCTCAGACAAATCTCATTGTGAAAACATACAGTGTGTGTGCTGGACATGAACACATACTGGAAGAAACATCCAATAAATTTCATTTATATTCATGGAAGTATTTAATGAGAAACATTTCTCACAATTAGAAAAATTCTGTTTCCTGAACTGCTCATGACCTTTGCATCACAGTTGTTCTGTGAATCTTGAAATCACATGTGCTGTGTCACAGCCTGGCTAAGGGGCATGACTGAGGGGTGTGTGTAGACATACGTGTATATAGATATATTTAACTTTTAATTTTTCTTATAGACTAAACAGAAAAGCTGTATTGATTCCTTATGCTGCTGTGAGGCCTGAATGTTGGATTTTTTAGCCATAAAAGCACATTCAATGTGACCTTTTGCACTTAGATTTTCATGGTGCTTACCAGCAAATCATTCACTCTAGGGGGCAGTTTGTACCACAGGTGAAAATACTGAAACCTAACGATGGCCACTCCAAGGGGAAATTATTTCTGGATTTATTTGATTAGAGCTGAACACATTAATCTTTTTCATGAGTGAGGGAAAACCCAGAAAACTGTAATGAAGCTTATATGGAATAATGGTCCATAGGAATTAGCCCAGACTAGCAAATATGGAAAACAACCTTGTGTTTGCTAAGTGTTTCAGAGTCAATGGGTGAGGGAGGAACAAAATTAGGGAGAGTGATATTTTGCAGATAAAATTGCTTGCTTCTGACATCCTTGCAGAGGTACAATAATGGATGATAACTCATCTAGGGGCACAGAATAAAATTCAGCATGACACATGAAGAATCAAGGTATGAAAGAAATAAGCCGAGTGGTTTAGCTGCTTGGTGAGGGTCAGATGAGTGGGGAGGGGGAAGGAATTAACCAGATAGCAGTATTTGCTGTTATTTTTGGGAGGTATGCAAGCAATTCCATAGCTGAGGTCGCCCTCACCTTACAGCAGCTGTTAATCACAGTGGATGTATGACATTGCATGTCAGCAATGCTGCCTGTTTCTCTCATGTTTGTTTCTTTGGACTATTTTTCCACATAGGTATGTATCATCTGGTCTTCTGATAAAGCACAGTCAGCCATGAAGCTTCCCATTGTAATTGGAATATGTGTTGCACATTGGCAGTTAGTAGCAAATCTTACGGAAACATTTGCAAGGTTAGGCCCTTTGGGGACATGTGACAGCTGGAGAACAGTGACCGCTAACATAGACCTTAGTATCTGCAAGTTCACATAGCCCCACTGAAACAGGTGATATTTTATATTCACGGAAAACCTGCCTCGCTGATTCTGACTTCTAGTTTTAAATCTACCGTATTGAATTTTGTTCTACCCCCATGATTCTGACAAAAGACAAGATCATGAATAATGTATGTTTATAGTTTCCTGCTGCTTCTTCTTTTTCCAGATTGTGACATAGATCTTTCTATAGCAATTGATATTTCAAGGCACGTGCGGCCAGCATCCACAGTGCTTCTGAAACAGAAATTGCAAGCATTCCTCCCCAAGCTTTTACTCCAGATGAAATCACTTCCAAATACCAGCTGTAACGCTAGCTCTCCAGTCAACATTAGATTCAAGTTCCAAGTATTGGCACAGACTAAACAATTCATCTTTGACTCTGATTTTGAAGACTATAATGAAGAGATCATCCAGAATTTCTTAGACGCACAAACCACTGTGGACACCTACCTGGATGCAGACTTCTTACAGGCAATTGAGGAGAAGTTCTTCAGTGTGACCTCTGCTAAAGTGAAGGTAATTTAATGATGTAAGCATATGTGTTGGAAAAATAATGCAGTTTTATGTTTACAGATTGATGCTGAGTGCTCCAGAGAGACAAAAAGGTAGTTTAGGAATTGGTGAATTCAATAAACAGAATCACAGAATTTTTGAGGAACCTCTGAAAGTCATTTTGTCCAACCCTCCTGCTCAAGCAGGGTCAACTAGAGCAGGCTGCCCAGGAGCATGTCCAGATGGCTTTTGAGTATCTCTGTAAGAATGGAGTTTCCATGATGATCAGGAAAATCTGCATAGGCACTGCAGTTAATTCATCCATCTTAAAGTGAGGTGAAGGGAGAAGCTTAAGGCTTGATCTAATCTCTTCCAAAGTGAATGGGAAATCTTTCCACTTAGGTCAAAGAAAGTTAGATCTCATTGAAGTGTTTCAGGGTCGTTGCACTGAAGGTTTATTTTTAATAAAGCACTGACTCAGTAAAACACTGAGCATGTCCTGTAGCAGCTGTTTGAGTATTATCACTTACTAAGGTTTCCATGCAGGAAGACCTTCCTACTGAGGAAGGACAGGTTAGCCCTTGCAAAACGCATAAGGGGTTTCCTCCATGAACCTTACTTTGATTTTTATAAGATGTTAATTTTAATCTGATGTGGAGTGAGAAAGCTGTATTGTTATGAATTCCCCTGCTTTCAGTTGCAAGTTGGCATTCTGTTTTTTTTACAGCATTTGCATAGGTATGGCTTACCAATTTAGGTTTTAATTTTGTATATATTTAATACTATTTTTTTCCCCAAAGAATTTTTAAAACATCATATTATTCTGAACGGGGAGCATGACCACATAGGATTTTGCTTCTTTTGGGCCTCAGTAGAGAGAACTTGTGTGACATACAAGTTAAAGCAGTGCTTTTGTCTCCTAATTGCCAATTCTGTTAGATCCCTGTTGAAGATTAGAGTTAAGCAAGGCTTCTTTCTGCTTATGCGTTATTACTAGAAATAAATATCCTGCGTATCTCAGCACTTTACCAGGGGTTTAATATTCCTTTCTGATACTGTTTATGTGCAGATTGAAAGTACAAGACTTTAGAATGCATGTGAAATCACAATCTAATCTCCCCAGGACCCTGAGCAATAACATGGTTGTTCTATAAAGATTATTAGTTACAAACCTCATCAGGGATAGCGATTCTCTGTTGTTTGCATTTCTTCTTTTCTTTATTATTTGTTTGTGTTTCAGTGAAAGAGTTAGACCTAATTCCAGCGTTTTTGACAAAGCAAGACTCAGATGTGTTCCAGCAAGAGCTTTATATGAATGAAAGCTTTGAAAACATATATAAGGCCCATGCTAATAACTTACATTTCCCGCTGTCTCCTTGTTTTTAAAATGAAGATTGCCAAAAAACCCCACAAAAAACATCAAGCCCAGGCCTACAATGTTGTTTCTAACAGTCTGTGATCTGGATTACCCCGTCCATGGTCCTGCTCTCCACTGTATCACACTCTGCTTGAGCAAATGTAGAATTAGTACCAGTGCCTCCATAGTAGATGTTTGGGAACTTTCTGCCACCAAAACCAGTTGACTCTGTCCACTCTTAAATTCTAGTCTGCTTGCTGCTTCAGCACAGAAGTAGAATGTTTCATGTGGCAGTCACTTCACTTACCTTTGTCACTTGTGGAAAAATTCACCTTAACAGAAGTAATTCTCTAGAGTTTGCATTGGTTGGAGCTGTGCATTGTATAGGAAATGTAAAATAAGGAGGATGGGATGGAAGGAGCCCTAGCTGTGCTTGTCCATTTGTTGGTCAGAGAGTTTGAGGGCTTTATTATTGTCATTATTGTTGGGGACAGGAGACAGTTTACCTATACAGCCTCTTTCTGGGAAACGTAATTGCTGGATGAATGGGGCTTGAGAAGACTTCTGCTGGTTTGGAGGGGGAAGGTGAGGAGAGAAAAGGGAAGAGACTGGTCTCTTGGAGGAAAACTGTAAGAAGTTGTGCTTTCCTCAGCCCTGAAAGAGGTTTAACTATAACTCTTTGGCCTGAGAAGGTGGGAATGTAGCCAATACAAAGGCTTAGGATTAACGTCCTTATTTGAGCTAAGCCTTATGTCTTAACCAGGGAAATACGGCAGAGAGTGGAGCCGGGTGGTGCGCACTGCCTATGTGGAAAGGGCAAGGGGGCATAAGCATCTGTGGGGGGAGGTTTGGACCCAGGGAGGATGCACTTCCTTGTGTGACTCAGATGACGGCCAACTGGAGCTGCTTTGCAGAAAGGGAAAATTTTGTTTGCTCAAAGTTCTTCATACTCACGTATAGGAGAACTCTTCTGACATCAGAGAAAGCTCTTCAGTGGATGAGTCACAGCAGAATCAGCCTTCCACCTAGCATATGGAGACGGTGACAGATATAATTAACAGCAATGCTATGAACTGGTCAGCGAGACAAATCCCTCAAATAAGAGTTCTGTCAGTGAAGGGAGGCTTTTTTATTTCATTCTCCTTGCTCCTCAGCACTTTTCCCAGCACACATTTCAGATCTACCACAGTGTAGTGCAGTTTGACCATCTCATAGCCAGTTTTCAATGCAAACTGTAATTTTTACAGTGGCTCAACTTTTAGTCTCTTCTCAATTAACTTGACATTACTCCCTTTCCTGACAGGTGCTGTTAGTATTTTCAGATGGGCTGGATGATTCACTGGAAGATCTCAGAAAAGCAGCTGACTCCCTTCACTTTAAAGGTATTACAGTACTGCATTGATGCTTCAGCCTCCTACTACCAGTACCCAATGCATTGCTTCCCTGCTGCAACTTTTCCACATAACATTACCTCTCCACGCTCATATGGCATTCCTCAGGAGTCACTGGGAGAGTGTTTGCTTCTCCATGTGAACCAGTACACGCGATGCTATCTTCTGGAGTCCAGCTCCACCAGCTGTGACAGCCCCTGTCACTGATGAGTGCAGCACCAGAGGTTAGACCCAACTCTGACTTCTGCAGGAGAAAACAGTTTTACACTTCTGTTTGGGCACTGAGTAGCAGTCCAGTCTGACAACTGGGGAGAGAAGTTGATTAGAAAATTGCTGGTTTGAATTTTTCTCTTGTACAGTGTTCTCGATAGCTTGATTTCTTTTAACATACTGTGTTGAAACCATAAAACTAAGAGTCTTTTAGAGAACTGCTGTTATTCACAGTGATATTGTTGGTTAAATAATACAGTTCACTAATTTAAGTCTCTGCTTATATTGAAGGTCTTGATGCACTTCTATTAGTTGGCCTGGATAATACACAGAACTTGACTGAACTTCGGGAAATAGAGTTTGGCAGAGGGTTTGGATACAACGAACCTCTGAGTGTTGGGTTTGCAGACATTGCAAACATCTTGCAGAGAAACTTTGTAAGTCCTTCTATGATATCAACAAAAGGGGGAAAAATCAGTCTTTATTTTATTATTAATATACATAAGCAAAACATTTCTTGTTTTTCAGGATACTGTTGCAGAAAGGAAATGCTGTAAAGTTGTTTGTAAATGCCTTGGAGAAAATGGTGATCGCGGTGGCCAGGGAAGTCCTGGAAGGAAGGTAAGAGTGCTGAGATTTTTTAAAAAGTTTTCATTTTTTGTGGTATTTTAGAGCATGTATTCATGCATGTGCCCATGACCTTTGCTGTTAGGACAGATGAAGGAGAAACATGAAATGTTTCTTTGACGCATGTTCCTATTACGAAAGTGGTTTTGTAATGAAGATTGTTCATGTATATAAAAATCATTAAGCACTCTCCTTTACCAATTCAGCAGAAAATGCAGAGGGATTGAAGACTTAAGTCTGATTAACCAAGAGGCTTATTAGCTCTTGTGAAAGAGAAACTTCAAGCTGACAAGCTGAAAGTACAAAATAATCCTTCTTCACTAGGTGTGAGCCTTGTCCTTTTGTGCCTCCAGTTATTCCAAATATCCTCTTCTGTGTTTCTTCGATCCAATACAGTACTAATTTACATTATTTTCTTTAAGATTTTATATTGTCTGTTTTAAGCCTTTTGAGTATTACAAATATCATCACTTCTACAGCATGCTAGTAGACTTCATTATTAAAGTTTTTATTACGTCTTCTCCATTTGACTACTATTCATTCCCTTATTTCTACTTATTCCATTTATATTTATTCATAAACTAATTTACTGATTTCTTCCATTACTCTTGTTGATTTTCTTACACCTTTCTGGTTTATTAAAATGTCTAGATTAATGTGCTTAGACAAAGCAGTGTTCAGAATGTAGACACAGCTGTTTTGCAGACAGACATGATGCCTGGGTTGTACAGTCTACAATTGCGAAAACATGTTTTTGCAGCACAAGTCCACGTTTCATTTTTGTTCATTTCCATTCCTAAAAATTCTCTTTGTTCTAGTTTCTCTCTGTTCAAGTTTTTGCCCTGAGGGTATGAGATTTGCATCACTTCAAATACAAAGTTGAAATATTCCTAAAAGTCTTTGTAAGGTATTGCAATATCTTTGTCCTAACAGGTTTTTGACTCCTTATATTTTTCATTTCATCTCAGAATTAGCTGTGTAATGCTTCCTTTTCCAAATCATTAAGGCAGAGATTTAATTTGACCAAATGTCTCAGTGAGCTTGGTTAACCCATCAGGCAGTTTCTTGAAATAACATTATGAAATTTTGTATTAAACATTTTTGGTTTGTTTTTTTTTTTCACAGCCATGTCAAGTATGTAGGACTGCACAGAGTGTCTATGTAAATGTAGTTGATAGAGCCTGCCCTCCTCAGCATTAACCAGATCTAATTTTCAGGAAATGTTTTCTATCTCCATATGCAGAGTAATCTGATAGAAATGAACCCAGTGTGCTTGGAGAACAGTGTTACTTATCTCTTAAGTTCCTGTTTTTCAGGGAAGCACGGGTTACAGAGGATCTCCTGGCCATCCTGGTGAAGAAGGTGGGATTGTAAGTAAACATTCTTTTTAGTAAAATACTTCCTGCTAAGATGATGTTGGTTGGTGCCTGAACCTGTCTTGACGTACTCATTCACTCAGTGCTCATCAGTGTTAACCTCAAATGTGTTTAAGCAACGTGTATCTCAAGGCAAATATATGGACTTGACTCTCTGTGCTTCCACACCTCACCATAGTGAAATATAACTTCTAATGCAGAAACAGAATCTATTAAAAAGAATGTGGCATATTTGTGGCTAACTCATATATTCATTTTTTGTGACAGACTATACCAGATTCTGTGCTGATAGTTCTTACAGAAAAAGCCATCCCTTCCCTTCTTAGCATGAGTGAATATCTTCTGACTGGATAACAAAGCTAAATTTCGGAATGTGTTTTGGTGATTTCCAAATCCTTTGTGGTGTGTTCTTCCTGACATGAACTTGAACATAATATGCATAAACCAAAGCACAACTCACTAGGATTCCTCTTTTGCTGTCTAGAAACGAACAAACAAAAATCTCACAAAGAATAAACATAATTTGCTTAGCACCATAAGCACAGAACTAGGTTTACAACACTGCACCCATGACATGAATATTACTCCTAATTACAGATGTTTACTGTGTGTTCTCGTTTTGTTTGTCATTGTTTACCTGTTTAGACAGCAATTTTAAGGGAATCTGCTGGGAGATGCTATTCTCTTTTCAATTTTTTTAAGATTTTCAATTTTTTTAAGAGCTTCTGTCCTAACAAACCTGGAATAGAAGTCTTCAGAGACCAGTGACTAGAGGAAAGGCATTCAATATTCAGTTAAAAAACAGCTCACCAAAAGGCCCACCTCCAAGTACAGACATTTCAGTCAGAGATTGATAGTGCAGTCTAAAACATGGCATAATAGTGAGAGCAGAGAACAAGGGTGCAGCTCAAACCAGTAATTGACTTATGGCAAGTATGAAATTTTCCAGGTGACTTCCATTTGTGTCCTTAGTGCAGTGAATGGTGTAAGATTAAAGCAAGACCGAATTGTGATGATTTGAGCAGTAACCATCATTGCATGGATGAATTAGAACATTCTCTTTTGTTTCATAGGGGGAGAGAGGCCCAGCTGGTTTCAATGGGACTCAAGGAGACAGGGGATGTCCAGGTGCCAGAGGCCATAAGGCAAGTATGTCACTTTGGAGTGTTTCCTAATTCTGTTTCCCACAAAACTGATTTCTGTACTGAGGAGAAATTCCCATACTGTCGTCTTGAAGCGTGGATGGACAGTAAGACCCAGCTGTAAGAATAGCAGGCAATTCTTGCTGTCTCCTTTTGAGGGGTACCTTGTGTAACTGAAGCATGGTCAAATGGCTGAAGAGTTTGCTGACTTTTCCACCAACTCCTCCAGACTGGCCCTAGGTAAAAGTATAAAGCTTTACAGAGTAGGAATGAAAATGAAGGTGATGCTATCTTCCCACAGGAAAGAAGTCAATCTCGTATGTGGCAGTAGGGGGTTTTACAGTAGGGACTACGAATACTGAGCCCGACATGCCTCTCTGCAGCAAGCTATTGTGCCCTGCTTCTCAAGCTTAATGAAAATACTTTCATCAAATTTCATCTATGTTTATTTTCAATTCCAGGGGGCCAGAGGCTATAGAGGAACTCAGGTATGTGTTTTCATGTGTGAGAACAGTGTTCTGCTTCCTTTCCAGTTCGTGTTACCTTGTAAGATGAAAATATCAACAAGGAAGGAAAACAGTGTAAAAACTTCGTAGTGTTTAATGTACTTTTACTATGGTTGTATAAGAATAGATTTAAGTTGAAGCTGTTAGGTATCACATTGTTAAAAATCAGCAGTCTTACTGGTATTATATTTTTAGCATAGTTGCAGTCATAGTTGTTTTGGCCTAATTGTCAGGAAAGGAATTTGTTTACTGGCTATTTAAAAAATCTGTCAAGGTGGTAATTCTGGTGAGCTGAATCTCATATTCTAATTGTTAAGGAAGCAGAGCAGAAAGGAGGAAAAAAGATTGATACTAATGTTTCTTTTGTATTTGGACAGCATTTTAACTGAATCATTATTGACACTTTTTCAATATCCAGACTTCTCTTGAGCTGTTTTTGTCATCCGTTGATCTTGCAAGTCTGCTCATTTAACCTTTCAAACATACCTGTTCATCAAAAAGGTGTCACCAATTCATTAATAAAATGTGAAGCCTGGAAGACAATCTATAATGGCAATATTAGTTTTCAGGCTAGAGCAGTTAAAATGGAATTCAAATTGTATTGAGTACTTTGATACAAAACCACTCGTAGAAAAGATTTAGCAGTCTCAAAGACTCAGAAGATTCTTCCTTCCAAACCTGAGCAGCTGTACATATGAGAAAATTTGGAGACTGTTTCTGATATCTCAGCTCTATTTAAAGTACTGCTCTCTACTGGCTTTTTTAATCCTCCTATGTGTTTTTCTTCCCTTTTCTATTTTTTACTCTATTCCCTGAAGTAACTTGTCCTCCTTTAAATATCTGAAACATCTGATAATAGAAGAGTGACAGTACTTGCTGACGATTTTGATTTATCCAAGTTGAATTATACAGTAGGACTCATCTGGAGCACAAACCCTACTGAAAGCCAATGAATATGTGAATGTCCTCGTTACGTTGTGTCATTATATCTAGTAATTTTATTTTAACTAAAAATACGAAGCTTTCAGCGCATAAAAAATGCAACTCAATACTGCTAATTTAGTAAGGTTGAGGCAGTTTCTTGAAGTCTGCAAGGCATTTTAGTACAGCTGTTTGAAGAAAAAAAGACAATACTGAATATTTAATACTATGAAGTTTGGCTAGAGTGTTCTGAGATGGGGAAGAATTAATACTATTAAGACTTGAATAAAAGTCATGATTGCTTACTTGGTGCTCAAAACTTGTCTGGAATACTTATTCAAGAAATTCTTGTGACATATTAATCTTATAAAAATGTACAGCCAGCTATTTTTTTCTTATAGTACATACAAAACTGTTATAAATGAATGAAGATTTTCCTCAGGAACTTTAACTAGGTGGTTTTGCAAAGTCAATTAAGCATCAAAACCTAGAAAGCAGTCGTATCTGTAGTCTCTATCAGAGTGAGACTCCTGTTGTTTTAACTAACACTTATAACATGCTCTTGTGCAGCTTTCAGTGATTCGTTGAATATCCTTTCAGCTTTCATGGTAGTGGTCTCTGCTAATTTTATTTCTGACTACAAATGAAAACATTACAGTTAATTACTTCGTTTTTATCCCGGTAAAGAAGAATGGAAGAAGCACTTCAAAATATCCTTTAAAAATTGAGTGTGTTGTTTGGCCAGATGTGAAATACTGTGGAGCACTCATAAGTGAAATAAGAATCTGACAATTATAACGCTATTCAGAGGGCTCACTCTTCACCTGAACAATGAGTTAACATTGCAGACTCCCTAAGGTTGGGACGGGTGTTTTGTGAGAAAATGACTTCCATAAATGGTTGCAATATGGTGATTCGTTTTTGCAGATAGAGAAGTGCGTGTTTGAATGGGAATGTGACTGCTGTTTATGGAGCAAGCATCACCTTCCTGGAATAGTAGTGAATTTCTTTATCAAGTCCTAAAGCCTAAAATCAGTCTTCTGTAATCATTTTTTGTCATGGTTATTCTTTCTAGCTTTTCAATACACTGTTCACGGTACAAAAATATTTAAAAAAAAAAAGGCAAGCACAATACAAATAGATATAATAGTTGACACTAGAACGACAAGATTATCAACATGTTAGATCAGACATTAGTAGCTATATTTTGGAATATGTCTAGATTTTGAAAGTGCTGCAGTTGGGAAAAAGATTTGAAAACTGAAAACTAACAGATGGAAAAGAAGAATTTAAATCCTGGTGAAGATCTATAGTTTTAATAACCATTGTTCTTATTAGGTATTCTTAACTATGAATTGCTTTAAAAGTTACTAATTCATTTAAAACCAAGAATAATTCCTGTTTAAAATTTTTATTCTTAATTATTCTTGCTAGCCATTGAAAACCACTGTTCTTATTCAAATTTCCAGAAGTAGGGTGAATACTTCTTCCCTTGCTCAGAGAGGCAAGTGGACTGATGCTAATAGGGGTTTTTTGCTTACTGCTACAGGGTGAATATGGTGAAAGTGGACTTGATGGCACTGATGGAGAGCAGGTAATCATTGCTTTAAATGTGCAGTGCAATTAAAGATACCTACCTCAGGGTTCAAAAGCACAGATTTTTGTGCCTTTGAGCTTTAAACCTGAACAGAAATTTTGTTATTTAGTGTTTATGGTTGCATATCTGATTGAAGTTGGATTCTACCAGACAAAACTTGGGAACCGCATTCATCAAGAAGAACAACCATTAATTTTTTCTTCTTTCTTCTCGCTCTGTGAGCATAGGGAGAACATGGATTTCCTGGACCTTCTGGAGAAAAAGGCAGCATGGGAAAGCGGGTGAGAGATCCTTTAGAGTAATGTTTAGATTTTATGGAAACATCTTTCCAAGATGTAATGCTATCTGTAAATGCCTGTTGGTTTTCATAGCTGCCTGTTCTCTCATATGATGTGGCTCCTGCTGTAAATCAGTGTGGCTCCATTGACTTAAACAGATCTGTGTTCTCTTATCTGGCCTTCCTCTGCCACGAATACTATTTCTACCTTTACCTGAATTGCTTGTGCTCTTTCTATGAATTTAGGGCAGAAAAGGCCCCAGAGGAGAACCAGGTGAACGAGGAGAATCTGGTCTAAGAGGAGATCATGTAAGTGTATTCCTTCATTTTTGTTAGGTTGCACTGACTTGTGCCTGGATTTTGTGATGGAGCTGTCTGAAATATGATTTGAAGAGTTTTTCACAAATCCTAGATGGTGCAGTGTTCTGCAGGAAGTATGGCATATTCCAGGAGTCCTGAACTCTTTAGATGCAGATGGACTGATAGGTTTTGATATGTTGCTTGGAACCAAATGGTTAAGCCTCAAGTGTCCTTCTTGCTCCTTGCATTTTTGTTTTATTTCTTTTTTTTTGTTTTTACCATGAGCAACATAACTCCTTTTGGAGCTACTTAGTTCTCCCTGGTGGTTCCCACCCTAAAGAGGAATTTCTGGATCACTTGAAAACCCTGTGCACTGACTCTTAATTAGCAATTTATAATGATGCAAAGGCAAGTTACTTCTTCATGCTGACTTTTTTTTTTACCTTGTATGCTCCAGAGCCCTGTGTAAATTCAGTCCCTGAGGACTAAAATCTCAGTGGAGACACTACACTACTTCTATCACAGCTTTAAGTCTTGTCACATGTATTTCAAAAACCGTTGTTCCAAACAGTCAAATACAGTGTTGACTCCTGTCTTCTAAATGCTTATAAAAAAAACCCCAAACAAACAAAAACAAACCACCAAAAAACAAAACAGGTGTCATGGTAACTTGCCTCTTTGAAAGATTAGGATTTCACCTGTGTCTAGCATTAAGTGGCTAAATGGAACTCTCTTCTAATCTAAACCCATCTGAAACTCAGTAACTAGTTATGATCTTAATTTACTGTATCCAAAGAACAGCTTCACATTTTCAGGGTTTAATTTTTTGCTTTTCATCTTTTTGCAAAAGAAACTTGTGGACTTTGCAGAACTTCCTACATAGCGTTCTTAAGCCTCTTCATTTAAAATAGCCTTTGTATTTCTTGTTGGCTGCAAGGACAAATCTCGTTAATCCTATTTTCATATCCTGCCTCTGTAATCATAGTAATAAAGGTGTGGTCACTGAAAATGCTGAGCTTTCTGCTTAACTTTTACAGGGAGATCCTGGAACTAGCAATAATGTTCCTGGTCCTAAGGGTGAAAAGGGAAAGCTAGCACGGCAGGTAAGAAAGTAGTTCGATATTACAGAGAGAGAATTTGCGTAATTGCTAAGTTCTATTGGCTGTCCAGTGACTAAGCATCTCTCTTATTTTGTATTTTGCCTTTAGTGTATGTCTGCAACACAGGAAGCTTTGAGAAGTGCTTGATATTGTAAAAAAGAAAAAAAATAGTTAAGGTTAACAAAGACTATGGAAATATTCTTATAATATAGAGCTAAGGGCACATATGGATTTAGTATAAATATATTATTCTACCACATATTTACGTCACCAACCTGAGAGGCATCCAGTAGTGGGTTGTAAGGATACTGTTAAAAACCATGCTGGGAGAAATGCATTGGATATCAACAGGCTGTACTCGTTTTACTGTAGAAATGCTATTTCCTCAGGGTGGTGGATAAACTCAGTTTTGACCTGTACCTAGAATATAAGAGCTGGGATATGTGCTTATATAGTGATGTCTCAATTTTTAAGAGGTGTTTGAGCAGTACCTCAAGAAAAGAAACACAACAGAAAAGCACAGCCTATTTTACTGTTACACTTTGTTTGGGAAGAATAAGCAAGGATGATAAGTAGTTGGACAGTAGTATATGAATGATGGTGGACAAAAGCTTAAGAGGATGAGAACTGGCAACCTGTGAGAAAAATCCACTATTTTAGATGTTTGGTTTCTGTCTGAACAAGTAGGGTTGTGTGCACATGTTCAGGCACGTGTGTGTGCATATGTCTATGTAAGTGTGCTGAAAGCAGTAGAAAAACTGTGAGGGTCACTCTGGAGGAGAATTGTGTTTTGATGACTTTTTGGAAACAAACCTCATCAAACTTTCTCATCTTAAGAAGCCTAACCAAAAGGCTGAAGTCAACAAAAATGATTTCACAAAAGCCTTGACCAAGTATCAGCTGTTAGTAACTGATGGCTTGGAAATCCAAAGCGAGCATAATCTTTCTGGTTTATAATTTTTGATTGTAAATCATCTGCAGAAAACAAGAATCTGCATTTAGCATGATACAACTGATTGCAATGAAATGACTTATGAGAAGAAACAAGAAGGAACGTATAAAGAAGAATGTGTAAGTACAAGAAAAGAAAAAGTATTTAAAGAACTTATTCATTACTTTGTTTTTCAGGGAGACCCAGGACCACATGGACTCCAAGGAGAGCAGGGTGATGCTGGCCCTGATGTAAGGATAGTAATCAGTACAGGGTGGAAGTAACTGATGCAAAATACAATAGGGTTCCCATTGAGAAAACCAATTTTTCTCTTCTTCCATTTATCCCACACTTGAAACTCCTGCAATGAGAGGGAACAAAAATCTTCTAAAATTTTCATAGTGGAACATATTTGGCTTCAAATTTAGTAGCTTATGTGTACTGCAATATGTTCTGGTTTGTTTTTTTAAATCAGGAATTTACTGTCCCATTAATTCATGTGAAGTCACAAGCCTTAAACTCAGTACAACCTTTTCTATGAGCCTTAATTGCTTTATAATTTCACCCTAGATAAATCTATCCCTTCTTCCTTCCTGTGACTGCAAGTTCCATATGTCTGTTCGAGCTTATATATAAATTCACTGTCAGCTGAACTGCTCTTTTTAATCCACTGGAGACTGGAATTTGTGAAGGTACCTCTTCTAGTCTGTCAGAACGTCTGGAATGATGATCACTTCTCAGTCAGGCTGCAGAAACATCTTAAAGGCCTCAAGCTGTGAGGTTTAACAGTAACATTCACTAGTGCTGCTGAGCAGTGTGCAGCGGGAAGTGGTGCAGACCTCTTAGCTCAGAGAGAACAGGGCTCTTGTTCTCTTTATTTTAGCCAAGGGGCAGCTGACTGGGAAGATGTTTTCCAGAATTTTGTTGAGATGCCTTCCCTTGGTACTCACTAAGGGTCTAAAGCCTTTAAAGCCTTTATTTTATTTTTTATTTTTATTCGATAAGGATTACTTGTGTAAAAATTTCTGTCCCAAATCCACCCTTTTCTCATTCTTACCTTAAACCTTTCTTTGGAAATAATGTCTGCGTTCTATAAGCTGTATTTGATTTGATTGTATGTACAGTGTATTTTATTATAAGCTGTTCTTTTACATATTGCTCAGTGTTCTGGATGTAATTTCTCATGCTGCTCCTTCCTAGGGTGCAACAGGTCGAAGAGGCCCTCCAGGCACAAAGGTGAGTGGCTGACACTGCTGCTGCCTGTCTATATGCAGCTACATGTCCAGCCTCAGCCTTTGCTCCTCTTAAAGGAGAAATTTCAGTGTGTCCCAAGATACAAATGTTTAGCAACCAAAAGTCTATTTCAAACCAAGGCAGCCTTTGGATCTCAGGTGGATGTACCAGAGGCCCTCCTGACTTGAAGGATTTAGAATTAGAAAGGAGCTTTCGATGAAATAAAAGGACAGTTACTTTTATTATTAAGGCAAATGTGGGAAGGTAAATAGAGAAGAAAGTCGCTAAAGATGATGGGAATGAGTAGTCAGGCTGCATTCCTG